AAACAGCAGGAGGTCTATTTGTTATCCACTTCATTAAAAATAATAGATTCATGTTTATTTAAATGACTGCAAGAGTCCAATAATAAAACATATTATATTAGAGTTGCTGTTTAGAAGTGGAAACCAGGACAGGTTACATCATACCTCCATCTGGAAGTTGACAGCTAGGTTATCCACGAGCTGACTCCTGTGCGATCACAGCTTTTAACCTTTACTGACACTAATCCAGTTCAGTGATGGATATTGAACTCCAGCAATTTTCCATTTTAATAATCCCATTGTCCTAACTTCCATCAATCAATCAATCAATCACACAAGGATTAAATCAACACTTCTCAATGCCATCCCCATGATGCTGTAGGTGTGGACAGGAATATAATATTAGAAGGAAAAAGGTGAATGAAGAATACCGTTGAAAAGCCCTCTGGGTGTAAATCATTAATAACTGCTTCTGTATTCTCTACTGTGATCTCCAGGGTGTGATAGAGGCCAGTCTCTGAACATAAAGCTACTGTTACGCCTGTGAAACACTCAGCACTACAGACATACAGCAACACTAAGGTGATGGAGCTCTGAGGGCCAACTTCCATGTGAGGGTCTCCAACTTCTGAGCAGCTGAAGACGAATCACCGAGGCAAGACAAGTCAAGTTTATTTATATAGCACCTTTCAACACAAGGCAATTCAAAGTGCTTTTCAAAAATGAAAGACATTAAGAGCATTAAGAAACATACTATGAAATGACATTTAAAAACACTCATTTAAAAGCAAGGATATCAAATGGCATTTAAAAACACTCATTTAAAAGCAAAGATAATAAAACATGAATAACAAAGGTACATGAATTAAAGTTACAGTGAGACACCCACATCTGAAATGTTTAGGTCTGACTTTCAATCCTTGCTAACTTTGTGGCAGAAATAGTTTTATTTGACCTCACTTTCTTTCTACTTTCTTTTTTTAACTTATCCTTTAGTTATTTCAAGTGTTTCATGCTAAATGAACCCCCCTTGTGAACATTCTAATCTGCAACCCAATATTCCGAAAATTCAACCGATCCTGGCCATATTTGTGTAGCAAATCAAATTAATTTGCTCCCAGACATTCATGTGGCTTGCTAGTTTTGGACCCCATCTGTAACCCCACCAAGGCAATGCGGATGCCCTGGGTTTCTTCTCTTCACTGACGTCAGGCAACATTCCTCAGCTGGTGACGAACGACTGCTCTCCTCTGTGTTCGGCCACCATAAACATCGGTTTTCCACGCCTGCGAATGAGTTACCGGCCAGGTGGTACATCCTCCCCCCGGCAGCCTGCCCTCAGAGCGCGGGGTGAGCAGGTAAGAAGCTTGCTGCAAACCTCCTGCTGGGAAACACATTACTGTTGGAGTGGCTGCATGGACACACTTGTGAGGTACTCAGTGGGATCTATTTTTTGTTCGTGGAAGTTCTGGAAAAAAGGATTTATGTAGCTGTGGACAGCTTGAGGTTATTTTGAGAGAATAATGTTTGTGTCTCGCATATTTAGCATGCAAATACTTTTATTGTATTTTCCTAACTCAAGGCTGGATTTTTTTCATGCACAGCAGGTGGATTCTTACCATATGTCATACAAATCTACATTGGCAAGCTTCAATTGTGTCTGTGTCAAGGGGGTTAATAGGGGCCCAAAGGTTATTATTGCCCTCTGGCCATTAATCCAGTTGATCCGGCCCTGTAAGCATATAAGGAAGAGTATAAAACATGTAAAATGAAAGCAGACAGTTACTATATTCAAATCCTTTTACAGTGCCAGGCACGTACGCTGTTACCTTCTCTACCACCTTGCTACTGTACAAGCTCAGGGAAGTTTTGAAAACGGTTCCCAGAGACTTCAAAAGAAATGTCCGACTCGCCTCTCGCTATATCAAAGTCAAATTAAAATATTTTACCTGAGAGATCCCTGCTGTGATTCTGGGGCAGTAGGGTCAAATGGATATTGAGTGTTTAACTGGCACCCTGGGATTTTGTGAAATATTCAGAAAGGCCAGCAGAAGATGGATGTCTCCTTATGCCCCTCTCCCCTCTGGTGTCGTAGCAGGCGGGACAAAAGGGAGTGATAGAGAAGAATTTTAAACACCCATTGGCCCCCAGGAACTCCACAGACTTACAGCTCAATACAGATCTGTTGGATAGAGAGGGGAAATAAGTGCAAGGAGGAGAGGGAGAGGAAATTGTGGATAGGGGAGGGGGGAGGGAGAGGAAGGAGGGCAAATATATTAGAAGCAACAAAACAAATATTCATTGATTCACAATTTCAATCTCCTTTCTATGTCGCCTCCCTGAGAGCACCATGGGGGATTCATCATAACCCCACTGAAACACTGCAGTGTTCTCCCAGTGTCTCTCCATAACATCCATATTATGCATAATGGTAAACACAATAATGCGTGTACAATAAGGAGTGTATAAAAAGTAAGAGGAAGCTAACATTAAGGATGTGCTTTACAGCCCTAGACTTTTTATTGTGTGGATTTTGTGTCTGTGTTCCTGTGTTGACATCAGCAAATGTTGAAATTAGGCAATTATAGACATCGATGAGAACTAGGTTTGCCACTTTCTGAATCACATCCCCTGTGTGTAGCTGCAGTGTTCAGATCAGAGACTCAGACAGAGAAGCACTGCTGCCCTCCAGAGGACTGAGGGGTACCAGCGCCGAACAGCCAGATGTGAATACAAATACTAAAATATATGGTATTGTATTTTGGCTGGCTTTATCAGGATTATTTGTTTTTGTGCACCCACAATCTGTTTGCCTTGATTTAAGTGTTTACTGCCTTTAATTACATTTTGTGGACATGATGTTTGGTGAAATGGAGAGAAAAAATGGACTTACTGTAGTGAGAGAATTTATGATTGATATGTCAGATGTATCATGACTGATCTAAAATGACATGAAGGAAATCCAAGCATCTTTGTTGGATGTCGGGCTTTATGAAAACTCTAGTTGTCAAAATATTTCACAGTTTTTCAGGCACTTTTCAGTCAGAAAGAGTTTGAAGTCAGTGATCTGTCCCTTCAGATGTCATTTTACAACCCTTATTTCTTGCTGTTGTCAATTGCATTCTTAAAAACAAATCCATTTGTTACTGACGGTCAGTGTTGTTGTTAATGAACTGAACATTGGCACCAGCATTTCAGCTTTTTCTCACGCATGTAATGACATGATTTGATGTGATTGATTTAGTGAATGACAGGCTAACACTAGACAGGTAGTAGAAACAATATTACATTCAGAAAAACATGTTGTCGAGTAGATGGTGTACATGTAATTGGCTCCTACAGATGAGTATCAAATCACATTATTTGCCATGTCCTATCATCAAAAGAATATCATCCATTATTGTCATCTGTTAATGAGGATGATGAAACATTTTTAAAGCTGATTTAGGTATGCTTCCATACTTCATTTGTTGCAGCTGACCACAGTATGGGGTCATGACAAATAGTGGCTGCTCCATCAAGCCACCTATAAACCAATACTAAGTGAAGCTGCTGAAAATATTATCTATGTTTGGGCTGTTCTGAGTGTACTAGGTGCTGTAATTACTAGAACATCCACATATAAAGCTCTGGAATACGTTGTCTCTGCATCCATTAGCACACAAGCCTGTTACCTAAAAGAGCTGCAGAAAATATATACTGTTTTGCACACGGCTAGGAAAAGATGAAACCTTGGCGATGGTGTCTGACATTGATTCTAATATAAAAACACAGGTTACTAAAATATACTCATCAAGGGATGTACAGTATGTACATATGATGATGTAACATCAGCTCCATTTATTATATCAGTTGCTACAGTACATGTCTACCATCCTAAATATATTTGAATGCATCAGATTTCATTAGTTTGTGTGACACTGTAATGATTAAACATTAAACCAAAATCCAGGATATCATTCAGTCATGTATATTTTCTCTGCAACTTTTAATATTTACTATGAATTACTCATGAAGCTTTTAACAGTATTGATAATGTCATAGTGTGATGGTCTCTTAAAGCAGGACACTAATACTGTATCACCAAAGAAATTCCCCAGTCGATACAGACATAAATACAATTATTTTTGTATTACAACTTTTCTGAAATGTTATGTTTAAGTCTTCATTTTATCATTTTAGTATGTGATAATTTGTGTAATTTCAAGAAAAAACGTTTAAATGGTGGACAAATTAAACTATTGTCATTAAGGCATATTAGAGTCAAAGGTTTTTACAGTTTCACTTTCTTAATCAGTAATACTGTAAACAGCCATACAAAAGTACAACATTATTTAGGAATAAAATGTTATTGAAAACCAGGCTATGAATATTATGTGAATATTAAAAAATACTTTGTAAAAACCTCCAGAATATGGAATTAAAAAATAAAGGAAGAAAAAGAGGAAATATTTCTGTATTTAAGTGTGACTGAAGGGAAGATTTTCTGGTGTTTAATTGTGAATAGGGTAGAAAATGTAACTATTAGATAGTAAGTTGATGACTTACATGAAGGTGATTCATTTTTGTATTGCAAGTTTTCTGAAATGTTTTTGTTTAAATGTGAGTGAGGCATTATCTCATGAGACTTTGGTCCACTAAGGAGATATCTAAAGATCAAAATAGACAAAGTTAGAAAAATAAAGTGTTTGCTTCTCATTTTCAGAATTATCCAGTGCATAAAAATACTCTTTTTGACCGTTGTGTTACTCCAGTGTCCCCAGAAAACATGGATATTAGTGTCACTTACTAAAATTTGTTTTCAAAGGGTCAGAAACGCACAATATTTCCTGCCGTCTCAAACATTGTCTGACCTGTCCCCTCCAGTGAAAAGAAGACACACAAATGAATGTGGACCACGCATTTCTAAAAAATATCAAATTTAATTTGGTTATAAAAGTTGTATTTTTCACATGCACACCCACACATAATGAATCACCATAAATACTGTCCAATGATTTCTCTTTGACTTTTTTTTTTTCTTATTTGAACCTTTGATTCACAAAGCAAGCACATACGGTGGACCGATACATCTGATTCAAAGGACACTATGGAGAATGCAGTCTGTTACAGGGAGAGGAACTCTCAGTGCACTAACAAAAAGGCTGTCGTAAAATCAAGTAGAAACATTAAGAAATTATCTACAAATGGATTCAAAGTACAAAAGAGCTACAGCGTTCAGAGACACTACACCCATTCACGAGATAATTATGTTGGTATTGGGACACCGTGTTGCAGGAATGTGTGACTTTGTGAAAAATAAACTATACACAACAAGCTTTGGAACAAAAATCATGTAAACCTAAATCCAGCCAAACTTCCCTTACATTCCATTTTGGCAAAACCCTCACTTGTCATTGCATTTAATAATTTTAATAAATAATGAGGACAAAGAACCCTCGAGAGCAACTTGACATGAGGAAGATAAATCTGATAGATTATAAAAAACTAAGCAGAGATAGACGTTTTTAATTTATTAAAGCTATAAAACATACTATCCCTCCAGTTAGAGCACTTTTTGCCACCCTCACAACACACATAACGTTGGGATTGTGTTAGTAATCCAAGTTATTCCAACATATTATTTCTATAATCTTGTATAATTTACACACACAATAACCCTCAAAAGCAAGCACAACTGAGGGAATTGGGTTGTGTTCAAGGTCACCAGATAAATGTTTGAATTATTTGCTGTGACTTATGCAATCAGTGTCCATCATGTTAGCATTGTAGTTTAAATGATATCAAAGTTCGTTATTGTTTTTCGGTGCATTTTAGAGCTCCGAATCAACATTTTATTTGATCTCCAAACTACAGGCGTTGCAATTTTCTGAAAACCAGCAAACAGCTGTTATAACTAAGGTTGTTAGAAATTCAGGCAACAGAATGTTGAAGTCAAAAAACCATGCTGAATCTAAGATAAACTGTAAACTTAAACTGAATATTGATAGGAAAAATGACTTTGAATCAAGTAAAACATAACTCAATAATAAAAGCTGTCATTCAGTTTCAGTCATCAACCTTAATTCGAACGTCAGTATTGTTCTCACTTCATGCAGCGTCATCTATCTTGCAATAAAGATAAATGTTGGGGCTTTTTAAACTGACAATATATGAGAAACAGAATTAGTAGAGAGTCAGTGTGACAGTCTGCAGAATATTCAGTAGTTTTGTCTGACCTGATGACATTTCTGAATGCAAATCTTGTGGCATTATGCAAATAGGTTGGCTTGTTTCTAAATAAATAAACCTCAGTCTCCAGAGTTTGAGTACATGTGCTTATTTCATAAATAGGTACATTATCCAAGATCATAGGAATAAAATGTGTTTTTTACCCAAATCCCTATAAAGTATACTATATATAGTCCTTCTGTGAGTAAGAGTCATGTAGAGAATAAATGTGGCCGGATACAAAATGTTAAATCATTTCAGATTTCTCTTCACAGACCTCCAGCAGGACCTGTTTGTATTCTACGAGGCTTTAACTTGGCCGGCTATATCAACATGAGACATCAAAACTGAACAGTGCACAGGCAATGGAGGTAGCAGCACATCACTAAATCACAGGATCCATAAATGCATGGCCTCTCCTTCAGAAAAGAAATGAAAAGTGAACAAGAAACATGAGCGGTGCAAAACATGAACGCATCACATACTCAGGCACACCAAACATCTTTAACCAATCAAAACCAACCTTTGTGCAATAGGAAGACAGACACAAAATGTAGTCTTTAGAACTAGGCGTTTCATGACAGTGTGACAGCGAGGACAACAAACACTTCTGCTCTTGTTTAACTCTCGGGAAAAAGACAAGTCATGAAACAAAGAAACCCTGGTGTGAATCAAACGAGGAATGTCACGCTCATATTGTTTTCATAAAGGCCACTGAGACAGCTGTAATGCCCTGTTGCCAATCTGATATACTTTTTAGAAAAACTCCCCTCTGTTGAAATCACAGGTAAGTAGAAATGTCTCATTTCTTCCCACATGATGCTACCGCCTCTCTATGATATTGCACTGAATAAAGCCTTTGTGTTAGCAGCCAGCATTACTTCACAGAATGCCTCGATAACAGTGTAGATTTTCTTAGAGGAGTATGGTCTCTGTTTCCTTGAAGTGGCAACATCAATACTCCACATAAATGTTGTTTGCTTTGAAAAGAAAGGAACTGAGATGCTTTGTTTTCACAGCTACCCTGCTTGAAAGGAATTGTGTTTACAATAAAGAAAAAAACATGTCATGAAAATCCTAGTTTTTTTTTTTTTTTTTTTTTAAGTCATCCGTTGATTTAAAATACATCACAGTAATATGTTTTTGTGTCTGCAGGCGACCTCTCTTGATTTTGGCACTGCACTGTACATAATTTACGTGATTTATATCCGTACATGAATAATTGTATCACTTGTTATATTAAAATAGGCTCTCACAGTCCATCCTCTGTCATGTGCTGTTGGATCAGAGTTGATTGTATGGATGCAATAAACAGAGCCCGATATGTACGCTCTCTCTTCTTATTTCACAGGGGAGAGTCTCTTCAGGAGCTTCTTCCCCTTGGAAAGTAGTCCTTTCTTCTTCTTGTTCGCCATATCTTCGTCCCGGGGGTCCCGGGGTTCCAGAGGGAGGCGGGGGCCCCTCGCAGGGCTGATGGGTCTCATGGTCCCTGGGAGGAGGGGCCGAGCGATGGGGGACGGCGCTCGGACAGGCGCGGCGCCGTTGTCGACCGTGTCGGTGGTTTCTGTGGCAACCTGAGGAGAGAGGTGATGGGTGGAGGCATGGGGCGGCGTTTACAAGAGAAGCAACTCGTTCACACTGCAGATCTCTCCATCTATCTATCTAACTATATATCTATCCATACGTCTATCTATTTATCAGTCTATGTTTTTCATCAAACTATTTTGAGTAGACTAGCCAATGAGCGTAGCGGTTTTGCCACATTTATTGGTTGTCAGAATTTATCAAATGTCATTTATTTTAAATTTGATAGGTTATTTCTCATAATGGCAGATGTGTCACGTGACTGTCCACCACTAACACTTTATATTACTAAAAGTAGAAGTCACAAGAAGAAGAGGATTATACAGCCTTCTACTTGTGGTAAGAATGTGTACAGGCAATATAGTTATGTAGAATTAGATTTTCTTTTTTTAGCTTAAGCTAAGTTTCTAGTTAAAATTGTAGGTATTTATGTTTATATTATCTACCTCAGTGTCTATAGTTTTAGTGATTTTATGTTTTATTTGGCTGGTGTCACTTCTGTGATTTACCCTTTGGGATGAGAGTTGTCAATCTATCAATCATAGTTTCACAATAAATCAATTGTTGATATTCAATTCAAACGCACACACAAACATAAGTAGAAGTAGAGGAAACACTGAGGAAGAGGAAGAGGCATCAAACGTTGAGCACAACATCAGCACAGAGCCGGGGGGGGGGGGGGGGCACCGTCAGAAGGCCAAGAGGGAACATACAGTACAATCAGAACAACACCCAGGGACACAACTGTAGATACCAGGCTATTCCTCTAATGCAGCAGCTGCACACTTAGCCCCTGTTAGCATCAGTGCTAACAAGATTGTATTTTGATATCTTAGAAGTTCAGATTTAGTCTAGATGTCTCAAAATGTGGTCCAAATTGTCGGTGATAAAAAACACTTTTGCTGACAAAGTGATGCTTTTCTGTATTGTGAGGCTATGAGGAAACGTGTACATGTAAAACCATTTTTACAACATTTCATGTACACTCAAACCAGTATGAATTACACATTTTACTGATTTGACATGCCACTGGAAAAAAAGATGCAATGCAGAAACACTTGACGAGTGCTTCCATAATGTAAAGTAGCATTTCTAAAGCCTTAGTGCAATACACCAGCTGTGTGCATTAGAGCCTGAGTTTGGTATCTCAAGTTGCCGACTTACTGTACAAGGCAGACAGAGCCATTTATGGTGTGAAATGAACAATCTTCTTCTGTTTGTTTGTTTAGTTTTGCCAAGCGGGTGAGGAAAAACAAAAAAGAAATCAGATGTGGCAGCATAGTCACCGTCGCTAGAACCCACACCACTATGAAAACTGAAAACTGAAAACAACACCACCACCACCACCGACACACAGGAACACAGAGCGCAAAAAAGATTGCTTTTAATATCCAATTTCTTCTTTTATTGTTCCATTGTAACAATACAGTATGGATGTATCAGTGCTGCGATTAGTTTTGTCTCTCGAGATCAGAGCAAACATGGCATATCCACTGTCAACACGGCTGAAAAATAGATTTGATGTGTGTGCAATATACATAAAGAAACAAAGCCTCTTTTAAGGAAATACAGCAATCGAGCCAAGAAAGGTATTATAAAATGTATCAAGTTTGAAAAAGGCATGCTTTTCTGTCTTTTGTCATCTTTAAAGTATTCCCTCAAATCGTTTATTTCAGTGTCATTGGGTAGCCATTGTTATGTGTTTAATAAAGCACTTATTATTGTACACAATAACCACAATTTGATTTTGTGTTTCAGTGCAAAGAGGTACCAAATTATTTTGTTGTAAGGAATGAGTCGAGCCTTTTTTCAAGTCCTCCTTAACCGGTGCTACATGCATAAATCACCCAGCGCAGAGCTCCCACAGTCTATCCTCCCTCTGTCCATGTCAGGCTTTGCTTCTTCCTTTCTCTGAGACTCAGAAAGGTGTAAGCACTGGGTTTTTGTCCCCTTTGTCCAAAGGGTGAGGAGGAGGAGGAGGGAGAGGAGGGGGTTAGTTTGTATAGTCACCACTGTCACCACATGGACGAACACACACAATGAACAGCACACAGACGGCAAGTGGAGGAAGCGAGAGACGGAAATCAAGAGAGAGGACGGAGGATGGATGAACACAGGGCCTAGCGCTGAGAGCGGCGATGATGGTGTACCCGTTTGCCCTCCGAGACGCTGGCCGCAGGGTTGGGGGGGGGGGCGGTTGGCAGGCTCTTCCTGGGGCTGGTGGGACGGGGTGTCGGTCAGATACACCTCCACGTCATCAGGCACTTCTTCCAGGAAGTTCGAGGGAACCAGACCGCGGTGGCCGTTGATCTCACCCTGGGGACGGAAATGAGGAGACAGGCATTTCATATTAAAGTCATTAAAGGTTTGCTGGACACTATTAACCCTGCCTGTAATCAATCAATGTTTGAACATTTGGAGTTACCACATTACTTTTAAAACTGATAAAAGGCTGGTATGTTGAAGATTTCACACTCTGAGAATGAAAGTAACATAAAACTAAGAGGATTTAAAACCAGAACATCCAGGATCCAGAACAACACATATCCTGAGGTAACATTATAATCCTGCAGCCACTCGTCAGGTTAAATAATTGTGCAATGGTGCGGATGATTTAAAAAGGTATTTGAAGCATCTATTTGGTAATTTTGTGTTTCTGTTCATTTCCCTACAGGTGCTAGTGTTTATCTGTAGTGTTCCTATTTGCTTGATTTAATTTCACCCATCGGTTTTATGCTTTCATGAATTCTTACGAGCATGGATATTACTTGATACCCTTTGTCTTAAAAAGATTTATATTCCACGTTTCTCTCTCTTTGTTTAAGTAAGCTCACCAAGACAAATTCCAATCAATCATTGATATATCAATATAGCAAAGTATTAGAGAATTAAACTTCCTTCATGTCTGTATACATATAAAGCTACAGTATATGAAGCAGCCAGTTAGCTTAGCTTCACATAGTGACTGGAAACAGGGGAAACAGCTGGGGCAGCCCTTAATAAGGATGATGACAATTCGGTTTTTTTAGACATTAAAATAAAATAACTATAAAGTGTTGATATGACAAGAAAACATGACCAAGTCGCACTCACATAATAAAATCCGTCCTCATCAATATCTCCAAACACAGCCATGATGTCACCAGCACAGAAGGTCAGCTCGGCCTATCAGGAGACAGAGAAACAGAAAGTAAGGCGAGTCAAGTCAAATCATTCTTAATCTTTTTTGTTATTTTGTACAGCACTTCTTTGGATCTGTAAGTGTGTGTATGTATGTGTATGTGCATGTGTGTGTGCGTGTGCATGTGTGTGCGCGTGTGCGTCAGAGTTCCCGTTAGCCGGTAATTACCGGACTACGACCGGTAAAATATGCTGAAGACCGGCAAATCTAAATCTCTCCGGTCAAAGTGTCCGTTCAAAATAATTTCCGTTTAGCGCAATACCACATCAGTTGCACAACTTGCGCCATTTATGTGACAGACAAAAGAGTATGTGACAGACAAGAATAGTCAATTATAATGTCGTGTGGTCTAACGCTTACTGTGGAGAAAGAGATGTCCTGTGTGGGTTGATTGTGCGTTGATCTGTTGGTAATGCCTTGGGGTTCCGGTGGGCATGTAAACAAATGCATAATGCTGCGCTATACTTTGCGGCCTCACCCGGTTGCATAGCGACGCTTATTGTTTAGGTGTCTTTTAATAAGCAGGTAGTCCTATCATTAGCTAGAACTAGCTAGATCTAATCGATATGGACATAAACGCGAGTGAAGTCTAATCTGACGGGAGAGAGAGATCAGCTGCTGACGAGTCGACACGCAGCTCTGCATGATCACCTGCAGCGATGAGCGGAACAAAACACACACCAGGTTAGAATATCACACGTAACTATTTTAATTACCTCTCAAACTACCGTAACTAGTTATATATATGTTTAGTTTTACTGTCGAGTCACTCATTACTGATCCGCGAGCTGCATGATACTGACGGGCTGTCAGGAGAGGGAGAGCACTCCGTTTATTATTCCCGTGTTATTGTAAATTACTGTTCACTTTTGAATAATGTAGTTAATCTACTATAATTAGTTTGTTTAATATCGAATCATATCAATTTGTTTTAAAGCACAATAAATAACAAAGAAGACCTTTGACCGGCACTTTTCTCATTTTGTCCGGAATATTTCAACTTTAACGGACATGTTGACCGGCGAAGAAATATTCTAACGGGAACTCTGATGTGCGTGTGCATGTGTGTGTGGGTGCGTGTGTATCTGTGTAGCAGAGAGCGATACCTCCGTATCAACATTAGGGGAGCTCTCTCTGGGGTCGTAGTCGTACAGAGCCACCATCCTCCGGGGGGCCTGATCTCGACGGAGGCCTCTTCTGTGTTGCTCTGGAAGCAAAAACAAACAGCATGATAGTTCATATCATGTTGTCATACACAGTTTAACCCCTCAGTTCCATAACAGGAGCAGATGTGTACGTGTTGAGGGAGTACCCCCGCGTAGTACCTAATCTGTCCACGGGGGTGCTGAGGGGCAGGAAGCCCTGTTTGATGAGCTGGTCCATGGTCTCCTCGTCCTCAGCTCTGATCTCTGACACCATGTTGCAGGGGATCAGCCCCATCCGGCCCCTCACCTCCGCCCTGTAGAACCCATCTGTGTCTTTATCACCGTACACCTGTCAGACAAGAGAGAGGTTAAGAGATCCCTAAACACACATAGTACTTATTTTATGGTAGTGGATGACAGCCCTGAGTTTATAAAAAGATATAATTAGGTGATTTAAAATGCAACTGTTTGAGCCTAACTCTGTCAAATGCCTGATTTTGAAAATCCCTCCTGTCATGAAAGGACATAAACATTATTTTGGGGTATACATTTGCTGACAAAGATAAGTCCCAACCGGTCTAATTTAGGTGAGCATTACCCGATATAAAATTTTTTGAGGGCGTGTTGAATACAAAATCAACACAGGCAATGATGGATGTCATTACAGTATAGTAATATACTTTAGTTTTCAGATAGGGGTACAGTACCTTATACAAAAGACGTTTAGGGTTCTATGCACTTTGCTGCACCACTGACCTACATTCGCCAGTTGCTAACAAATGTGTTTCTGTTTGTTGTATTGTTAAAGAAAAAAGTTGAAGAATGAAAGAAGATGCAAATGTGTGCATAAGGTTTGATTGTCCATACCCTTGCAACTTAAAAAGCAAACAATTGTGAGGGATGGAGTCAGATTCAGAGACCCGTATAAAACTGTTTGTATAGAATATCATTTTTTAAGTTACTACACACTAGAATAGCCATTATTACCCAAGATTTAAATATTGAAGGGTTTGTTGCAAGCCAAACTGCAGCAAACAAGTTCTTCATAGTTTGGATTCACTTTTAAGAGAAAATAAATGCAGAGGAGACAGATGCAGTTAATCAAAGTGTCTGTAATCTCCCACCCTAATGATCTGCCCCTCTTTGAAGGGCAGCTCCTCGTCGGCTGCGTCTGGGTTGGGGGACATGGACAGAGGGTCGTAGTCAAAGAGGGCCACGAAGATCCGGAAGGACTCCTCCGGCTCCGACTCATCGTAGTACGTGGGGGAGCGGCGATCCCTGTATCCATCTTTCACACAAAGACAAACAAATTCCATCATCCTGCTTCACAGAAAGAGCAAACTATGAATGAGATCAAGACACCAAACATGACTTTTCTAGCAAACATAGTTTTAATCTTTGTGTTCAAATTGTGGCGTTTGGTTACAAATGGAGCAGATGTAAGGGCTCAGCTAAAAAACTAAAATCAGTTGGTGACAAAACCTATTTCTGAATGTAAGCATATACCACCTCTTTGATGATGAAGTCTGTATGTTTACATATTAAAGTCTCAGCCATGTGAAAGAAAATCAATGAGCTTTTTTTTGTTTAATACATCTTATTGATTTGTATTGTTAACAGATTGTATTTCCCTGTCTAGCCATAACTGTGCTTGTCAGCATGCAGGAAGAACCCTGTGGTCAGTCAACCATTTAAAATCATTTACCATAGCACACATGCAACCAGTCAAACACTCACAATAAATGTATCTTTACATTTCTGACTTAATGTTGGCATATGCATTGAGAGACAAATGAGGAGCAAGACAAACCATGGTGCAATGCACAGAATGTGATTCATGGACATGACACAACACCAGAATCACACACTAATCTGACATGCACGCTAAAAGAAGCCTAATAAGAAAATGCACCTAAAGATAAAACTCTATTTTCACTTCATTTGAAGACAAAACACTAAGTGAAATTCTGAGATTGAAAGCAGAATCTTCCCACACATTGCTAACCCTTTGCAGCCGCAAGAGTTCGACAGCAGAGGAAGCCTGTCATCTAAATTTGCCATGGCAATATGGAAAATGCAACAGCTTGTTCAGTGTTATACTGTGGAGGCAAGGCTTTATTATGGTCCTTGGAAACACAAGCATGACATGAAATGCATCGCTCCCAGTCAGGGATATGCCAACCTACAAAAGGTGTGGTTATTGTATTCATGGGGTACTAAGAAATGTAAGGGACGACTGCATTTCCAACAACTGATATTTCAAACTTAAACTTGTCTAAAGGAAACAAGAAAGCAGTGAATGTGTGGTCAAGTGTATTCATCCATGCATTAAAAGCTTTGTATAGCAGTATAGTCAAAGGGGAGGGGTTTAGCAGGCATCTGTGCAGTGCAGTGAGTGAGGCATTCTCTGAGCAGCAGTCAATTAATCATTTATCAGCTTAAACTGTGGAGACATTCACCCCAGACCCCAGGTTTGGCTTTCCAACGGGTCCACCATTTCAGTGCAGTGCAGTCATGCTGTTCAACTGTAAGCATAATAATAACTATTATTATTTGAGACAGAGAAACAGGCACTTGCAAGTGTCCACAGCTACTTCTCGCTGTATTGCCAGTTGCTTAGTGGCATTTTTGTCGCCATGCTTTTGGTGGTAAAGAACAGGACTGCAAGCACATACCCTGGGGAGACCTGGTGCCGCCCGTTTGCCTGCGGGACGACCGCGTCTTGTGCCGAGCTACTCTGCCATAAACATCCTCGGTGACGGGGTTTCCCTCACTGTTATTCTCAGAGGTTACCTCTACAGGAAACACCAATTAAGAGGGTGATGGGGTTACAGTGCAACGCTTCATAGATTTGTGTTGCCACATGCTATTGCTTGGACATTAGGTTAAACAAATACACACAAAAAGCTTATAAATTAAGAAAAACTATTTATGAAAAACTGTGTCTGCTTAGTAGATGACAGCATCAGTGTCAGCTTGTTGCATCTAAACTATTTCTGCAAGATCAAAAACTAATGTTGAGGGAGAGGAGCATGAGCATGGTTTATAAACACAGAGGTGATCTGGAGACACAGAGAAGCTCATGATGGTTTTAGCAGGACAACAAACACTTCTATTCTATGGCACAGAAAACATTACAATTATAAAATGTAAATGAAAGCTCCCCTCTGCTCTGTGTAGCTCCCACCCTTACTGACCAATGGAGGGGACCATCAGAGGCCGCCTCTGAGGCTGCGGCCCCCCGTGAGGAACTCTTCTCCCCTCTCGGTCATGGCGGCCTCCAGGAGTGTTGTTCTGAAATGCACATAAACACAGACAACATTCGCAAACATTAAACATTCTTGAGCTGCCCGCACACACACACACTCGGACATACTCAGTGTGTGAGAAAAAACGCACGTCGGACATACTTCTACACAAACTGTATGTAAACAAAATCATGCAGCACTCACAGGCAGGCACACTGAAACACAGACGCAAAGACACACACACACAAGCCCACGGGAAATACCATCATCACAAAATTAAGAAATTACTGATAACATACTACTGAATAAAAAAATAAAAAGTGGTATAAAAAGATGTGGGTTGGCACTGTTTTCCGTATGTTACTGTGTAGCCTCCCTCCACAGCGCTACACTGCTCAAACCGGAGTCTCTGTCCAGGGGGCTGAACACATTCACGCCCACAGTATCTTCTTTTATTTCCATGGAGCTGAAACGTTCAAGCTCGTATTCTTTCTATCTTTTTTTTTCTTCTCTATGGTGCTGAAAAATGTAAGCTGCTCTCATTTGTAATGTGTGGCAGCCGGATGCAACACTGCAGCAGCTCAACGTTACCTCCCATCATTCTAGACCATAGGCTGCTTACTACCAAGTATAATCTCATTCCATAAAAAGGGAATACAGCTTAAATGAAGAATTTAGGAATATAGCACATTTGGCTGACTAATATCCCAAACATCGGTTCAGACGGGATCGTCACAGAAGATGGTGCTGCAGTACTGTTTCTCTTCACGGATATGTTTATCATGCTTTCTAAAAGCATTTAAACCACAGGCTGTATGCAAGATGATCATTAGAGCTCCTCAAAAGTGAAGCCAAAACATCTCGTGTGGGACATGGGTCAAAACAAAAAGTACAAATAAAAGAGAAAAAAATAAAAAAGTTTCACTAGTTGTAATTGGTTCTTACCACGCTGATGTATGTTCGAGTGTTCGTGAGTGGGTGATGCTTTAAAAGAGTGAGGCGTCACGATTGACAGCTGTGATTGACAGCTGCTCTGAGTGAAGCAGTCACTGAGCCGAAGGCTCTGGGAGAAGGCGATGTAACTTTAGCTTTCCATAACCACTGCAGGTCTGCGTAAAAGAACATTCATATTTATGAGGATTAACTGGTTAGTTGTGTCTTTCTAGCCAATCAGCTGCTGTGTTGCTAAAGTAGCAGGTAGGTTGCTCGTGCTTCAGGACCTCGATACCACGACTCAAACCTCCCACTGCAAAGAGTCTGGGTACCGATGACGTTAAGAGCTAAATATGGAAGCTCCCATATCTGGGATATTTTGGCATCACTTCTGTACAGGGGGATGAAGGGGAGACGCGTCACCCAGCGATTTACACAGTTTAGGATTAAAACCCAGTCTGTCTCTCTCCATGGTGCTGAAACTCTGTTTTTTTAGCTCTCTTCCTATAAATTTGAATTAAACTCAGCACACACACTAACAACACATTTTAAATGCATGTCAAGGCAGCAGTCTCAATTGAAGCATCTGTGCCTGTGCAGTTCACTAGATTAAATTTGGGTGCTTATGACTCTTGGGTTTAGAATAAGTGCAAAGAACTGCACCTTGGGTGTGTTGTGCGAGTTGCGTCGACGTCCCTCTTCCAGCTGCATCTCAGAGTACAGCTCCTCCTCATCCTCTTCCATGATGTCAGACAGGTCAGAGCCCCGGCTGCTCTCGCTGTGATACTCTTCATTGTGACTATAGTGAGGCTTTTGGCAGTCGCACACACAAACACAAACACACAGACGCAATTGTTTAAGTCCACATACATACAAACATACATACATGCACACACCAAACACACATGGAAGAACAAACACACACACACACAGGAACAAACAGAGACACAGGCAGAGGAGTGTAAGCATGCAACCACCCAGACATGCATGCACACACACGTCCAAACACACACATGGAAGAGGTTGTCCATTGAAACACACACTGGGACAAAAGGAGGTAGAAGAGTCATCACTTATCATGTCCTTCTTACCGGCCTCCCAAGCTCCGAGCCTCTGAGGAACTCATCGACTGAGGGTCCTCTTCGGCGGCCGCGTGCAAACCCTTCTTCATCCTCCTCTTCCTCGTCAGAGTGATGCTGGTGAAACGTACGACCCTGCTCTCCGTATCTGACCTGCCTCCTGTCGCCCTGGAAACAAGCATGCGACGTGAGGTAAGTAAGATACCAGTGGTATTTCATTGTTGGATGTTGTTGCATTTCAAATGTATCTTCACATTTTCACTAGTTTGCAAAAATATAACAGTGAGCCAAAACAAATCACCGCCCATGGCCTGAGAAAGATGTTTCCATTTAATAGCAAACAGAACAATACCATCTGTTTCCTGAAACATTTTAGGCAAGAAACAGAATCATGGAACCATCTTTAATCACTGCTGCTTCAATTGAGACGTTTATACAGAGGTTATGAGCAGTGGAAACATACAAATGATATTAGACACACTAGAAGGATGGTGAGGAACATTACTTTTGGCAGGTTATCTTTCTCATGCACTACTCTCAGGATATAGTGTCAGTGTAAGCAAATATGACAAACGTATACTTTTAATGCAAACACATATTGTCTTATATAAAACGTACAGTGATGATAACAAATTGAATTCAATAGTAATTGTCGTGTTGTGAGTTTTAGTTTTTTTGACTGTGTCATATCCTCTGTGTGATGGATGTATTGTTTTCATCAAACCTTGCCACTCTCTGCTGCCACCCTCTGCGCTGCTTCTCGGGCGATGGCTTTGGCCACGGTGTCCGGGATGAGCGTGCCTCTAGGCTGAGGGAGAATCCGCTGGGGGGAGGGGGAGCGTAGATTAGCAGAGGGAGGGGCCTCCAGAGTGTGGCCTTGCATGGGCCCAGGAGGCTGGGAGGAGGGCGAGCGAGAGGGGTCCCAGCTAGGCTGGCCCGGTGGGAAGGCCCCCCCTTGGTGGGCCGCGTGCTCTTTGGCATCCAGGTCTCTGGCACATACTGGTCTCTGAGGTATAGGGTGGTGATGAGGGTGGGGTAGCAGAGGCAGTTGGTGCTGGGGCCTAGGACCTTGGTGGGGGAGGCGGGGCTGAAGGTGCAGGGGCTGAGGATGTGGGGGGCGAAGCTGGGGCTGATGGGGTCCGCCTGGGTGGGGCTGCTGGGGTCCGCCTGGGTGGGGCTGCCTGGGATGGGGTTGAGGGTGAGGTTGGAGTTGTTGTCCTTGCGCCTGGGGTGGACCAGGAAGTTGGGGTGGTGCGTGAGGATGGTGAGGGGATGGGAGGTGGGGTTGAGGGTGGGGTTGGGGGTGAGGATGGGGTTGAGAGTGGGGTTGAGAGTGGGGTTGAGAGTGGGGTTGAGAGTGGGGTTGAGGGTGGGGTTGAGGGTGGGGTTGAGGGTGGGGTTGAGGGTGGGGCGGGGGGCCTGCGTGGGGGTGCATTGGAGGGGGAAGGGGGATCGCAGGTGCAGGCACAAGGAGATTGTTTGGAATGACGGCGATTTGGGAGTCCTGGGATTCCCCCTGCACGGACAGCGTCCTGACGATCACTTCCCTCGCCTCCAGGCACTGAATCCTCGTCAGCTCCACAGTCACGTAGTCTGCCATGGGGAACAGCACCTCAGCTATCTGCATTCAAATAGAGGAAATCAAATGTCAAGATGAACAGAAGCTCCATATTTTCTTTCAACAAAACTTGTTTTTCAACCCTTACATTCCAAAGAACAACAACGGTTAGTTTACTCTGTGTTTTAGCAAACCCCCTCATCATTTATCATTTGTTCTATGTAAAGCACATAATAAGGTTGAAAGTGTGCCTTTAAAATGTAACCAGACTGTGATGATTAACTTTGGCAGTCACCAGAGGGAGTGGGAGAGCTTTCCAAGGCATTGGCAGGGCCCAGATTGAAAGTCATGCACTGATCATGACTCACAGGTAGGGGGCACTGCTGTGTGCATTGAGGGCTCTGATGACATAATGCTAAACTCAACAACGGAGGGTAATACCACCTCATCTACAATGTATGTTCTCATGTTTCAACATTATCTAATATGGCTAAACACCTTACAGAGTGTATTACATACTATATCTGTGTACCTCATATAGGCTTTTGAAATATGGATCCCATATGCCTGGGAAGTCTGAACAATCCCTCCCCAAATGCCTGCTACTGTACACAGTATTGCCCTTTTCACAATCACTCACAAAGTAGGCAATACAAACCCTTTCACACTCACCCTCTGTCCTTTAGTGCAGACTGCGTAACCCACCACATTGGCCCCATTAGATGTGCCAGTGGGGGAGAGGATGGGGGGCTTCCAGCGTACCTGTAGGACCCCTGGAGCCTGCCCACAAAGCACCTGCACATCAAGGGGAGGCTGGGGGGGGCCTGGGAGGTGAGAGGACAGTTACGATTGATATCATAGTTTACAGTTTTAACAGCACATATATAAACAAGGTGAAGCATTCATCAAATGCACAAGTTGGGACACACAATCATGCCACAAACATGGGAGAGGGCCGGGGGGGTGAGGTGGGGTGAGGATTCACAAAACAACAAACAGGGTTCATTTATAATTTGTCCTGCATTCTTAAATCTGTGAAAGAAGTTACATAACGCATTATCTTTACTTGTGATAATGTGACATTGCTAGTGAGGGATATTAAACAGTTGTTTTGTGCTGTGATCATTACATTTCATTGAAAGTATTTGATCATTTGGTATGATAGCAATACACTAACATTGTCTAACCGAAGATACAGCTTTATTAAACTGAGGAGTGGAGGGAAATCTTCATATTGTGCAACATCAAATATGAACACCTCTTGTATAGTACCGGAAACTACTCTTCATGCGGTAAAAAAGATGAAGGTAAAATGAAACAATGTGTGCTTGTGGTTCTCCTGAGAGAAGAGCTGTCTTCTCCGCATGCAGGACACGATCCAGGGAGACTTACTACAGCTCATTCTTTGTCTTCCACTCTCCTGGATCACTGGAGAAAACATGCACAACTGCATTCAAGCAGAGGCAAATGCACACTCATACAAAATGGTCATTTCAGTGAGCAGCGGAGGGGAACTGCTTTATATAGCACTGGTTACTACAGGCTAGGCTATAGGCTGAGGAAATGACTCATCAGAATAATAGCTGATCATATCGTGGGATGCCTGGCTACTCTCTAATTACTGATATGCTCAGTGCAGTAAGCAAACTTAGGCAAAATTGCATTTGAATTTGGTTTCAAAACAGAACGTGTTTTGAAATGTTGAATAAATGCATTATTGGCAACACGGTTTGTAAATAAAAAAATCTTTCTGTATAGATGCGATTTTGCCAAGATCCCTTAATCGATTCCTCATATTGATCAATATGTCAAAAGCATTCACAGCATAATGACCATAGCTGTCTTCCAAAAGTATCCTAGCACTAATGTCCACTCCCATTAGTTTGCAATGGGAGAACATCTGTTAGTGCTCAGATATTTGGGAAAACCAGCCCAGAACTGATGTTTGATTCTGACCTGTTCTGCAATATGGTGTTGGACCTAGACAAAATACAATACACATCAGCAGCAGAGTAAGGCATTGCTGTACTGTGCTCTTCCACAGCACAGAGACATTACCATTTCAGGCTGGTGTTACAGTAAACTGAAATAAACAGTAACAGCAGCCTGTCATCTCCATCTGTCTCAAAGATCATTTAAAACATGTAAAAAACAAACATAAAACACGACTGACAATCATCTGCTATGGATTTAGGCATATATTATTGATAGTGTGTCTCTATGTGTAGAAAAGAGCTGACCTGCCGCCTGAGTGCAGAACTCCACGCCGGCTTCTTTCCTCTCTCTCTGCTCCAGCGGCAGTTGCCATGGCACCTGGTGCGGCTGTGCCACCACCGACACTTTGTAAACTGTCAGGGGCTTCAGATTGATGAAGCGTAGTCTGTACCTTCCCGGCTTTACCACCGCATGCTCCGCCCCGTCCAAGAACACGGTGTGGCCATAGTTACTGTTGCTCGGCAACCAGGAGAGCTCGGCGGTGTCGCGCTGGATGTCGTCCACCCGGAGGCCGCAGGGAGCCACCACCACGTTGGCCCCCACCAGCAGGGTGCAGCGCAGCTCGTCTGAGAGCCCGCGCTCCGTGGCGCTCTGCACGGACACGCGGTGCACGCAGTCGTCCAGGTCCAGCTTCTCCAGCAGACTCTTGGTGCGGCCGCCGTACGCCACGCTGGCCCGGAGCTCCCCGTCCACCAACACGTTGTAGCCGGAGATGTTCCCCCAGCCTAAAGGCACGAGTGAAGGCTCCCAGCCCACAATGACGCTCCGTGCCAGCTGCTTGATCAGGTTGATCTTTCGGGGATAAGGCACAACGTCTTCCGCCAGGTCCTCAGGGTCCAGGGGCCCCCCTGTCCCATTGCTATAGGGAACCAAGGCGTTACATGAGCCCAGAGGGCCATCTTGGGAGAAACCTCCATCATAAGCCACTAAGGCCAGGGACATATGGTCCCGTGAGCCACGCTCCTCCCCTCCATCGCCGGCCTGAATCGCTAGTTTCTCCTTGTCCTGGACAAATTCCACAAAGTTGGAAGGAACGAGTCCTCGCTGGCCATCTAGCAGCTCCCCTGTGACGCAGAAAGATAAAGAGAGGAAGGTGTAGGAGATACATGACTCAACATTATTCCCTGTTATTCTGGTCCATATGAATGAACAAAAGGTCTAATGCCAACTGCTTGAAAATGCTAGGAAAGCTTAACGGTCCCTCTGTGATGCCTCGTGCAAAGTTCATTAACTCTGCAGTAAAGCACCTAATTTAAAAAGTATATTTTAATTCTGTTACTTTATTCTTCTACTTCTCCACATTTCAGAAATAATATTGTACTAAATATCACTAAAAGCTTTTTAGAATAAGATTCTACAAGCAAAGCATACTATCAAATTATAAAATACGATAAAACATTATGTAGTTCAAATGTGTTCCATCAAGACCATCTGTACTGTATACTGAATAGATTTAAGATAAAGTAAAAAATAGGAATTCACTCGTAGTTTATAACAAGACAAAAGGCAAAACAAAGCTGGAACTTGGATACACTTCATCATCAGTGAGAGCTGTTTGCCTTGCGGGCCGGGAATGAGTCAGTGAGTGAGAGGTGGGAGATATGTAAACATACAGTAGGTATTCTCTATGTACTTTTCTCTAAGATGTAACATTTACCACAGCTTCTCTGATCTTTTGCACCCTCTCCAGTAAACATCAAACTGAGAAAACATTTCAAAGATCTTGAACTTTAGTTTGCCGCTTTTGAACATTTCGAGGAACACCCCTGAGCATGTGGATTCTGCGGTCAATGCAGAAAAAAACCATCTTAGATTTGTAGTATTTCCCCAGGGGAAGAAGTTAAAAAAAGCTCCCCATCATCTTGTCTTCAATCCTTTTTTCCACAGTGGCCTGTGAGACCTTAAGCCCATCTGTGTGTGTATTTGTGTGCAAGTGAGGGAGTGTGTTGTTTGTGTGCACTGATGATTAAGCCGAGCCCCGCTGGATTAGTCATCAAGCTAAAAGGGACCAAGGTCTCATCTTGACGACAGCTTGGTCCGAAGCCTGAGTCTCCCTCCTGCGTGGCTCCTCCACGATGCCATGCAATCTCTCTGCCCACAGCGGATGAATCACTGCAGCTGACTGTGTCTGTAGCGGGACACGCTGTCTGCACGATGCTAGTCAGGGGGATTAGGACTGCCTCCGATGGAGAGGCCTTCATCATTCTGAAGAGATTAGCCCAAGAATCTGAAACTCTTCTTTTCTTTAAATCCATTTTCTTTTCTAATTTATTTATCAATTCCACAAGCTGCAAAACTCACTTGTTCTAAGAGAAGTTAAAACCTCATCACCCATAGCAACAATGAAGCGTGCAGTATAAGTGTTGCACATTGAGAAAGGATGTTCAGAGGGCATTTAGACGATAAATGCAAATCTGTAAACAGAACAAATTGACTGTGGAATAACTAACAAAGGTCTTGGCATTCATTTTCATTGTTGGATAATGAATGTGTTGATTCACACGCTTGTTGTGACTGTCAGGCATTCTCTTCAGCAGCAGCAGCAGCAGACAGAGGACACCTCTTGCTCTTCTGTAATCTTTCAACTTTAAGATGCCATCATTTGCCGTTTCTGTCTAGGCTTCACTTTCCAGTTAGAACTGATCAATATTTTCCATGTCATCTTGGAGAATTGTTTTTCTTCTCACCTTGATAGAAACCATCGTCATCCATGTTTCCGTACACGTACAGATACTTCCCAGCCACAAGGGGGAGTTCTGCTTCAGGATGCTCGTTTGGTCCATCGTAAGGATTATAGCTAAAAGGAGAATTTCAGAGTTTTATCATCAGCTTTTTTTAAATCATTTCCAAATAAAGAAGCAGTTTGTCAGTTAACGATTATATTATTATACTATGTTAAGATTATATGCAATACAATCATTCCTGAAAGCTGAGGTCATTCACCTGTATCGGGCAGTGCAAAGGCGGACCTGGCCTGTGTAACGAGGCTTGGACCTGGGTGAGGGGCTGGCCTCATCCTCCATCTACAGATCCAGAACCAAAGATGAATATTATTCACACATATAAACACTATGCATAGGTAATACTCAACCTAAGAGCAAGCAATGACAGCCATTACGTTGGAATAGATGACTTTGTAACTGGGTTAATGTTGAGAACATGGAAAACTATCATGATGAGTGACTCAAGCATTAATGAGATGATGCAGTCCCACCTCGGAGGGGGTCCGCTGTCGGGGGCTGCTGGGGCGGTCCGTTGTCACGGTGTTGTGTTTGACAGACAGCAGGTCCTGTCTGTCTCTGTCTCCAGTCTGTGGTTGGCGGGGTAAGAACCGGGAGATCAGGAGCGGCGGGTCTGAGGCGCTCTCATTGCCTGGGAGACATTGATTTCCATAGCAAATAAAGAGCAACTGTCATTCCTTCTGCACCCATTTGCTGCTCATTGTACAGCTATTGATCTCCTGTTGAAGCGAGTGCACAGCAAACACTCTTCATGGCAGAGGCTTTCCCACCCCCATCAACACCTCACATCTGCAACGCGTTTGTCCTTAAATACCACTGAGGTCCACGGGGCAAAGAAAACACACACACACACACACTTGAGAAACACAGGAAATAGAAAACTGAGGTCTAAGGGTGTGAACAGCTAAATTCCTTGAGGATATTAAAGCAAGTCAACAACATGGCTCCTGTGTATCAGTGGCTTTTCTGGTTTGTGAATGAGTAATATTATGCATTAGCACAAAAGCATCCCCCCTGTTTCAAGTGAAGGAAAAGATAAAACAGGATTTCCAGCACTTCAAAGACCCTGGTCTGTGCCAGACTGTATAAATCTACATCGCTGATACGGCTCTATCTGCTGCCGCTGCAGGTTGCACAATGTGTGTTTGAATGCTAATGTGGTAAACCACATTCATGTCATACATCAGGCCTGTGATCAATTACAATAGATATTGATCATGAATAAGCAGTATCGCCATTAATGGTGTCCACCTCTGGTCAGGAGTGAGCTGATGCAGCTGTGATGCGAGCTGTCTGCGGATCAGATCACTCATTTCATTCTGATCACAGGCCCTTTGATCACATGTGATTTGGTTGATGCTTTTATCTATTGTGTAGAGTGCATTCATTATTTTGAATAACGTGTGGACAACACTACGGAAACCCTTTACCCTGATAGTGAATGTGACGTATTCCTATGAAAAGTACTCGATTGAGATTTAGCATTGCATTTTAATAGCTTTGTCAGTCACGTTTTTATACGTTGTTTTTTTTCCTTATTGGTTTCTGTGAAAAACAATAAGAAAAATCAACTTCAGATGCGCCAAACGTCCTCAACCATCCTAATCTTATGGAAAATGATGAGTCATGTTCATCCTTTGGAGGTGTCGGGCCGACTGTAAAGCCCACTAAACACTGTAGTAGTCCAATCATGGTCATTTCACAAAGAAATCTGTGAGATTGGTGCAGTTATTTCAAGCACAAGTAGCCACATTATCATTGTAAGTAAACATATAAAATCTGAAAGGCAGAAAAAGTACCAAAAAAATTGATATATATATGAAGTTTGTCCAGAGCTGAGACCCACCTGTCTTTGTGTGGGCTTCAAATCCAAGGCTGGCTTGTGAACGTCTTTGCTCTGATGACAGAGGGAACTGGGATCTGGAGTCGGGATTTATTTTAGGGATGTACACAGTATCTGATTGCAAACGGAAATTCAGCAGCTCGTTGGACAGCTGATGGAAGTGTTCACTCTGTGACCTGCATCTCTGCTCCAGGTCACAAACCTTGACCTTTGATAGAGAAGAAGAGAAGAGGGGGGGGGGGGGGGGGGGGGAGAGGGGAAGGTAAAGAATGATTCATGAGGGGAACTTAACACACAAAGCATGTAGGGCACTTCATCACATGTAATGTTCGGATGTTAATTATCTGAAGAACAGCCAACGATTCATCTATTAATGCTGATCAAACACAGAACCAATTAGAAGAGGATCCCTACAGAGGCTGTTTCATTATATAGTAGCATGTTATTTTGAAACCACTGCAGTCTAATCAAAGGATGTGTGAAGTCAAATGCACTGCTGCAGCTGCTCATATACAACGCGGTATAACTCTGATAACAAAGCCTGAGTACTGGAAAGATTTAAGAGGATTATTAGACTCACAGTATAGGAATTAAAGACGCCATATCATAGATCTCATATCACAGGAAGTCAAGGAAGATGGATGGGATGTATGGTGAATATAATAGTACTCAATCTAGGCACATATGGATTCTCGATTTGCACAAAATATCCAGGAAAAAGCTTTAGTGATTTGTGGAAAAATTCACAAATGAAACTATTCAGGGGGGAAAATAAATACCTGAAACATTCTGTCCTTTTTGTTCTGCTCAGACAAAATGGAGGGAGACAGAAATAAGTAAAGAAAGAAGAAAAATTGAAAGAAAAAAAACACACAACACAGAAATGAAAACGTTGCAAAGGAGGAAAAGATAAAATGCAAAACAATAATATATTTATCAATACAGACAAATATACAAAAGCAAAATTAAAGAAGAAGGAACTGAATAGAAACACAAATATGTGTGTTTGTCAGACTGAAAGAAGCCTTTTAAGCACAAAATAAGGAATGTACACAGAAAGCAGAGTCAAGAGGTTGGTTTGTTTTGTATACCTGTAGAAAAGAGTGTTTTCACATGAATGTAAGGCCTGTGAAAGGGACCGTGAATTGATTTGATGAATTTGTGAGAAAGTAACTCCAGTGGAGTTTCCATTTCTCTGTCCAAACTCTTGATGTTTGTCGGAGCCAAACTAAGGCTGCTTGTTCAGCAAAACCGTATTAAAGTGCTTCAGATGGATAATAACCTGACCTCACTCGAACTACATTCAGAGGAGTCGGAAACCTATTGTCTTGACAAAAAGGATTAAGAGTGGAATGAGAAAATAATTTAAGTAGATGATCCAGTGACAAGCATCTGTGATGAAAACAGCAGGTCGGAGATTTGATCAGAGGGGAATCTGGTATGCAAGGTCAGCCTGACTGCAAGATTAGAAGGAAATATTGTTAAGTTTGAAAGAATATTTCACAAAACAACAGTGAAGAAGGAACAAGAAAGAAAACACAGAAGCTGAGCCACTGTTTGTTTTAAAATCTCAAATGTATCGCTCACAAACAGGTACCGCGGTATTGGATAACCGACATAGTATTACAGTGTTTGTCCACAAATAATACCGTGTGCTGACTTTTGAATTGAATGTAACCACCTGTTCATACCCTGGAGATTTGTAAAAGAGGAACTGGCGCATACATATGACAAACTCCTTTCATTTACCCATTGTTCTACAAATTGCTTTACAAGAAGACATGAAAAGGGGACAACAGAGATAAGAGGCAGACAATGATGTTTAAAAGCAAGTGTAAAAAGTATTAAATAATTGGTAAAGCCGGAGAAAATAAATTGAGTTTTAATTCAGGGGGGGGGGGTTTGCGGAGAAAGAGTCATGGGCAGTACTTTCTTTCATTCTATTGTGGGGATTTTTAAGGCACTTCATAGAGCATACTTCAGAAATGTAAAACTATAATGGCAGAACGTAAATAAAGTAACCAGAGTTGGGATGTAGTGTGTGTCCCCCTCTATCTCCTGTTAGTGTTCTTGTACCTGCTGTCGTGGGACAACTGACCAATTACATCTTAGCAATTGAACAAAAAAACCTCCTTCACAACAAGACCAACCACTGTGTAGTTTGTCCCTACTGTGTTATTTATCCAAGAAAAAGGTGACACTGAGTAAAAGATCTTTGTGTGTTCATGTTACCTAACCTCTCACAGGTGTAGTGCTTCTTCATGCTCTTGGTCAGCTTGGACCTGAGCTTGCAGAGAGCAAACAGAAACACACAGTGGCACCTGACACTGTGATCACAGTGCATGAGGTGAAGATGACAGCACACCGCTGACATACTGTCAACACAATATCCTGGCAGAGACTCAGTGGTTGATCACAGCACTGGCACATGAATAGATTCTAGATGCTACTCCTGATGGCACGGTTCTGGTGAGCAGTAGGATTTATTTTGGGGTCTGTTAGTGTCTAAGAAGTGGCTCCAGGCATCATGAAACATCCTTTTGTTTAGTTGTACATTACTGGGCCTTGGCCTAGATATTTGTTTGGTCTTTGAACAGACACCAATGCACATACAGGACATTAAGCAGGTACATGGAGACAACAAGCATGAAGACCTCACAGACTACTAAAGCTTCAGTCACTGTTCAGCCCTTTATCAAAGCCTGTGTGGTCTAGTCCAGTGGGTATGAGAATATTAACATATCAGTCATTTGAATAAGCTTTTTTTTTTCTTCGCTTTTTGTCTGATCTATTTATGGTGTGTAAATCATTAACAGGAAAGGACACTGCAACAAGACAAGAAATACAATGTTTGAAAGTAAATATTTGTTCATTTAACAATTAAAAATGTAGGATTGAAAAAGTAAATCAGGGTGAATTATGAATGACAGACATGAAGAGGAAAACATCCCCAAACTCCTTAATTACAATATTCTTGCATAAATTAGTGCCACGCATTTGGGCCAGACTTGGTAAACAGAAAGGCATATAATTAGCATTTTAGACATTTGAAAAGCCTTAGAAGTTTACAAGGAGTTTAAATGTATCAACAGCAAGAAAGGCAACACTTTAGGCAGAGAGATCTTTGTCACACTATCTAACAATATGAAAAGGTGTTGCTGCATTTTCTCAAGAAATCTGCAGATTTTTTGAAAGCTTTCTGAGGTCTTTTCATCTTTCTGATACAGTATCAGATATTCAATGACAGTGATTCAGCAGAAACTGGTCACTGACACATCAAATACTGACAACAAGGAGGGAGACAGAAAAAGAGTAAAGAAAGAAGACAAATTAAAAAGGTACAGATACATATACAAAAAATATATAACATTAAAGAAGAAGGAAATAAACAGAAACACAAATATGTGCGTTTGTCAGACTGAAAGAAGCCTTCGAAGCACAGAACAACGACATTTCACAAAAAGCAGAAAAGAGGTTGGTTTGCTTTAACCTACACAGCAGTTTTGTATACCTGTTGAAAAGTGTGTTTCCCCATGAATGTAAAGAAACAGGCCTGTGAAAGAGACAATGAATTGATCCAATGAATTTGTGAGAAGAAAGTAACTCCAGTTTCCATTTCTCGGTCAAAACTCTTGATTTTCTTCCGAGCCGATTGAGGATTTTCAGGATGTCATAATGATAACAAATAAGATTTCAATAACCAGTTTCAAATGTTTGCCTGTATCCGTATGGCCGTACCTTTTGCAGTTGATTGATCTCCTTCTGCTTGGTGTGAAGGGCCACCAAGGCTTGCTCATGCTCCGTCTGCAGCTGCTGCTTCAGCTCCACAGCCTCTTGCATATGCTGCAGGAGAAACAGAGAGGATGTGGCTTTGTTGAAGGATGTTATTTACACAGTATATTTGACAGTATCGCACTTCAGGGAAAGAGAAACCAAAACATTTTTCTTCCTTTAAATCTAAATTGATTTCACTGTGAAAGAATGATACAGTATGGGATGTGTATCCCATTTGTAATGTATATCTATCAGATGCAGCCTACTCCGAAGTGACTCAGACGAAGCTGTAACGCCTGGTCACCCACGCTGCTCCTCAATCTACCCTTTCCCAAATTAGCCAAGTCATGACTATACACTATCTTTCCGGAGTCACGACCAGCTGTCGCATCTAGCAGAAACAGAGTTAAGGCCATAAGATGTTTCAGAGGGCTTAGGAAGAAAAGACAGCTTAAAAGGCTCTGACATTCATCATTTTCTCTCTGTGTTCTCTCTGCCTTGAAAAAAGGAAAGAAAAGCCTCTTTACCTCCCGGAGTGGCTTCGAGGTGTCCTGAGCAGGCAGCCGCTGCTTTGCATAATCAGGAAGAAGTTTTAAGCTGCAGAGCACTGGGCTGGCTGAGAGGCTGTCACTGCAGCCTTAGTGAACACTTTCTCTTCTTTTTTTTTAAACTCATGGATATTTAGGGAAGGCTTGATGAACTAACCTACATTTTCAGTAAACAGCCTGTGATGTCATGTTAAAACAGACTTCCTAATCATACTTTAGGCCATAACTCAAAAGATATCTTTTAGATATACTCATTCAAATTGGCTCCAACACATGGGCTGTGCATATTCAGAAAGTATTAAAGGTGGGGTAGGTCATTTTGGAGAAACCAGCTCGAGTGCGCTAGGAATTTAAAATACACAGCCGGAAGAAATCTGCCACTTCCTCACAGAGCCCCTCCTCCAACACACACGAACGCACACATGACCAATGAGGGCACGAGATAAGTTTGTGCACAGATGGAAGGCTGACAGGCAGGTAGGCCATCCAGTTACTTTAGCCGGGCCGGCTCAAATGATTGGTCGTGCTTTTTACAGCGCTACGGCTTCCACAGATGACATGTTTGTATGGATTTTTTCTTAAGATATTCATTGCTATCGGGATGTTAAGAACATTCCATGGAATATAACAAAAAGTGTATCTCGAGCCGGTTTCTCAAACTTACCTACCCCACCTTTAAGTGTAATGTAATGTCTGGTAGGAAGTGGAAAAACTGTTGCAGACATTGAGTATAAGATCAAAATAACAATATGATGGCAACTTTATCTCTTTAAAAATGTTGGAAAATGTTTAATATCAGGGTTGAGACATTGTTTAATTGCTATTAGAACCACTCCTACACAAACAGCATTACAAGTAGAAATGGAGAATAAAGCCATAGTTAAATGACAGAGTAAATGCAAAAGGAGGATCACAACAAACAAGAGACACTGAGACCCTGCTGCTTCCTGCAAAGCCTGCAGCTACAGAGATGAGGAGGGAATTTGTGTGTACACAATACTGTAAAGACAAAGATCTTGAGACGGGGGATATGTACTGCCTGGATGAGCTGTAAACCTGACACCTGAGATTTGGACTCGACTATTTACAGATCCTTGGTACTACTGTATATGTAGTGTGACTCACGGGATGAAGACTGTAGGTATAAGCCTGCCACGCAGTATTCTCTCCCCTCCTGTACATCTGACAATAACTCCCTTTGTTACCAGATTATATAACTTTAAAGTCAAGATTGACAGTTCTGTATCTCATTAGCTTTGACTCAAGAAAAAGTCTGTCTTTCTTTCTTCATGTTGCATCTCCTCCATCTTGCTCTCTCCTCCCCACTTCGCCCTGTGTAATGTTCTCTAAATGTCTCTTTGTCTTCATAATCAATACACAATAAGAAAGTGACAAACCTTTCTTTGCTGTATTAGGGTGCGGGTCAGTTTTTCTCAGATGGGTACATTTCTCTCTCAAGTATCCTGACATACACGCAATCAATAGGAGATGCAGGGCGGCGAGGATTTGTAATGAAAGTGCCTCTCACGGCGCACTGAGACTGTGTCTGATTACTATTGGCAGACCATAACAGGGTGGAAAAAAAGAGCCTCTCCATGAATGCAATGACACTTCACCTCATGAGTTGCCATACCCTTCTTCTAAAGTTTTTGCAGAAAACCAACACCTGGGAGATGGAGATTTTCCCCAAAAGAAACAGCAAAAAATCTGGGTCTGAAAAACCTCCAGATCTGATGAATTGTGCGAGGAGAACAGAACCACCGTAGTGAGCGAGGGATGAATGAGTGCAGATTGGAAAGCTGGAGAAATGTAGTGAGATATACAGTATGTCCGAGAAAGAGCGGACAGATAGAATCAGTGGTGATAAAGGGTTTAGATTATTTTGCTTTGCCTACTCAGCAGAAAGATACGTGTAGGGTCTCTGAGACATATAGCTCGGTGGATTTCTACAACAAATGACGGGAGAGATGAAGAAGAAACAATTTCACATTCATCTTATTGAAGCCTGAACTAAAGTTTGATTAATTTACATAATCTAATCCATAACTGCAGATCATTAAATGTGAGCAAAGAAAGGACTATATGAAAAATGGCACATTGGAATCCTTTGAGGAATAATAATGTGTTTTTCAGAAAAAAACTCTCACCGACGGCTTTACCACAATACTCAAAATACTTGGTGTATTTATTTGGTGTGGATCACATGGACTTTTTTTAAACTAAAACTAATACCACAAAGCAGTGGAGATGACTCAGAACTCAAAGTTGTCATAGTTAGAAATCAAGTACATGATTTGCCAAAATGTTAAAGGTTTAAGGGGATATGAAAAAACGTTCTGATTGCTTGTGCGGTATCTAGAGTGCCTGCCTACAGACAGACTGGGAAATAAGACAAAACAAGTCATAAAACATCGTATCAAGCCATTCAGATTTGGCTCCACTTCCTATGTCCCATTGAGGCTCATCAGAGTTTTTTACGGCTTGAGGACTACCTTTGCAAAAGTTATTTTTCTTGCAAGTCTCTAGGGGTGTTTCTCAATCGCGAGGAAGGCTGCTCCAGAGCCACTATTTCAAGCATACTACGTCATCGAGTGCCGCCGAAGTACTGTTCCAATGTCCAGCATACTTGGAATTCTACCGAGCCTGGCGTACTTCGTTTGGAGAAATGTCGAGGCTGCACATGTGTAGACTCCGCGGCCTTAAAATCCCCACAATGCTTTGCGCACGGACCAATTTCCCCAAATCTGTGGCGGAAAATGTGAGGCAGGGCCTCTCATATGACACACACCTGCACACTTGCTAACCTGTTCCACTCTTTGTTTTCCGAATGCCAGGAAGGATTCTTGCCTCGCTTCTGAAGCAAGATGCTCGGAAGACATGTGCTACCAAGCAAGCGTACTCGAGATTGAGAAACACCCCAGGTCTCTTTGATTTAGGTCGGGGACCTTAAAGAGACAGGCTCAAAAATTAGGCTTTTACATCAGAGGGTAATAAATACAGGTACATTCGGACAGACAGTATAACATCGAGTAATAAAATGTAAAATGAGCAAAATATGTGCCCTTTAACTGATAGGTAAAAGGGTGCTAATGCGAAGGATGCTATGATTGGAAATTAAACAAAAACGTATCACATTGTTTGTATACAAAATATAAAATGCATGTATTAAATGATGATTGCACAGAAGCATTTAAGCGATGTTAACATTAGAGTGTTTATGGGATCATGTGAATGAGATGATGGGATATAGCAACATTAGCAACAGCTCACCTTCAGCACCTGCTCCAGGTTCTCCACTCTGCCTTGGAGGTGGCTCTTCTGCTGCTGGGCCACGTCTCTCTCCTGGCTCACGACAGCTAAGGTCTGTCTCAGCTGGTCACAGTCTGATCGCACCTACGTGAACAGGAAACAAGTCCCGTTTTAAGGGAGGGAGGGAGAAGAACAAGATAAAAAGAGCAAGGAGGTTAAGAGGATTATAAACAATATAAAAAGGTAGACACAGGCACCAGGAAAAACATTACAATGCGAGAGGATATGCTTACCCTTACATACTTTAAGGGGAAAATAAGTTTGGTAACTTCTACAAGGTTTGTCCTTGCAGTAGACCTACTGTTTATATTCATGAATAGAGGCATTTATTTTCTTTTTTAGCTGGAGGGTTGATTGGAGTACATAGTCGGAGGAGAAATTAATCAGCACATTTCAATTTAGGCTTGATGAGAAAGAGCTGCTGACTTGAGCGTTCTGCGTCTCGTTCCTTCATCAGTCAGAGGCCTTGAGCTAAGCTGGTTCCTCTAAAGGTGGCCTCTCAGGATCAAGCAGAACCATCCCTCAGCCATACACCAATCGTCTCATTAACGGGCAAAAGAGATGAGTAGACAAAAAGATAAGCTCACTCAAAGTGCTTACTCTCTGACTGTTGCAAAGGCAATGAGTTTATTCATATCAGGAAATGTAGGACAAGTGCTCAAGTAGCATCTAAGCTATGTCCCGTTGGACAAGCAGCTAAATTATCATTGTTACACATTCAAACACATGCTTCAAAAAATCATTTATAATACACTTAATTTATGAGCAAAAAGAACCTCAAAAACCAATCTATAATTTAAGAACAGATAGTAAGACATCAAATATAACCTTAAAAACTGTGATCTGGGAATCAAACCAATAGTTAGCATTTTAGCCTATACCTTCCATATATAATAAAATCCAATATATGTTAGATACATATTCTGTATTATTCAGTAAAGGGCGGCTGGTACTGAAATTCAAATTTTAAAATCATTGAATCACTTTATGGAGTCCAATATAAGACTAACAATACATACTATGATTTTGAGTCAAACTTTTTGTATTCTCTTTTAACTCTAAACTGTCTCCGGAAGATGTATTATCAGTTTCTGTGATAACTATGTGACATGCCATCACCACCTTCCTATTTCTCTTCCCTTTTTTATTCCATAATTTTCTCTCTATGCATCTTCCACTATTTGCAGCCCGTCACTCTCATTCATATGAGACTCGACACGCTTTTTCATCTCTGTGCCCACCTTGGCGGTGCACAGATGGCATCTTCTTGTGTGGCATGGTGGAGCAAAATCTCCGAGCTGAGTCCCTGGACACGTGTCATATGTGCCCCCATTGTGAAAGTCACCATTAGCAGCAGAGAAGCTAATCGCCTACCGTCTGGGTCTGTGTGTTTATGTATGCATGTGTGAAGTGGGGATGAAGGCCGATTACGGGAAAAGAAACGCAGCAATGATGTGTGTGTATGAGACGGAAAACATGACATTAATAGCACATGTATACATCGTTGGCGTGAAGAGGCAACACATGATAACACATATAATGATGGTAACCAGGCTGCAGATGTATTGATCTACAGAGATTAATCACAGCCAGCAACGTATGACTGATGTTACAGATATTTATAAGACGTGTGCATGTGGTATGTAGCCCCTATGATTAGTAGTGCCTTATACAATATATTTTACCATTGATCATAGCATGGCCATTGATCATCAGTGTGTGTGTTTCCTTGCTTTCACATGTGTCAGAGCCATACCTGGTCATACTTGGACGTCTTCAGGTGGTGTGTGATCAGCTCAAGGTTCAGACGATTTTTCTCCTGCAAGGCAGCATGGAGCTTTGCTCTCTGAAGAAGGAACAAGAGAAACAGATGAGAGTTAAGTGTGTTGTTACATTACGATACATTATCTTCCTCATTGCAAAGACGTTCCTGTCTGACTGCATCATGTATGCGAGCCACACACTGCAACTCCATCTTAAAACTATTATATAAGTGACAGATGAAAGGGCCAGGTTAGTGCAGATCCCTCCCTGTGTGTGTGTGTGTGTGTGTGTGTGTGTGTGTGTGTGTGTGTGTGTGTGTGTGTGTGTGTGTGTGTGTGTGTGTGTGTGTGTGTGTGTGTGTGTGTGTGTGTGTGTGTGTGTGTGTGTGTGTGTGTGTGTGTGTGGCTAAGCTTTTCTCCAAGACGCTGTCTGGAGGACAAAACCCACAGCTGCATACTGTCACCCTCCATTTGGTATGTGGCATTAGGAGTGGAGGGGGAAGAGCTGAAAGACGAGGGGCACACAGGAAGAGAGAGACAAGAGAGAGATGGATGGAGGGATGGTGTGGAAGAGGAATTGGGAAAAGGTTTGAGGGAGAAATATTCAGAAAAAGTAACAACCCGAGGAATTTGAAGGATGGAATAAGGGAGAGTCAGTTGAATGCTAAATGATAAGCTAACAAGTGCACTTTGTCTCCTGCATCTCAATATGAGATTAAGTTTCATAACACGTAAAAAGGATTGAAAAGAGGTGTGCACTTCCTGACTGACTCGCCACTGCCCAGACCCAGGTTCTGAAGTTGTCATGCCGCTGGTGCTGCAGGTACTCAAGCGTTACATAATTACGCCAGACTCAAACTAGGGCAACGCTCTCCTCCTATCACAGCTCCGAGCATTCAAGAGTGATTTCACTGCGACTGGTCATATCCTGGCTCATAATACCACTTCATGCTAGTGCACTAAGCTCAAATTGCTGATTGTGATCCTCAGAATAAGAACTATAATATGTTTATAAGTCATTTATAATAGCAGTTGGGCCTTTTTGTTTGAATAAAAAGCAACAGGAGATGATCACAGTTTTTATTATTGCAGAACGTAAAAGCAGGATCAAATGTAAGGCTTTAGGATAAGTAGGGTTTGTTTCAACATGTCTTATTGATCAGAAAATATTGCCCCTAAATAAAAATAACTAGATTTATAGTCTCCTTGAAAGGATTTAATCTAATTGCCCTATAAATATGCGTTATAAACTGGTGAAAACCCAATCTTACATACATTCCAGCTCCATAAAGCACAGCTGTGTTGTTCTTTCTCTACACGCTTGATGTAAACACTGCGATGCATCACACATACATGCAATATGTTCCTGATTACTATCATATAGACCAGGGATCACCAACTACATTTGTCCAAGGGCCAAAATGTATCCAATAGACACTATCGCAGGCGATTTTCATATAGTCCACAATGCTAGTGGAACATGCTCAGCTACTGCGGACCTTTAATTTATTATCTGAAACAATGTAATAACTTTTAAAACTTGTTCCAGTCACTTGACCAAGCGGCAAACTGTGGGGTAGAGCCGGGAAGCCAATACGGAAGTGCCACACATTGCAGTTCATATATTGGCCGATAGGCGATGGCTGCAGAAAGGAGCAATTTCCATAGACCCCCATGTTAAAATGCCCGATTTTACAGCAGAAAAAAACATGTTTCTACCCCTGGCTCCATACATTTTATTATCGATATAGTTAGATTCCACCTTCATGATTATGGATCTGTGAGTGAATTGTTTTCTAACGCGACCCTTTATATTTATATTAGGTCTTAAAGTTTGTGCATACATTAGGGCGTGGTCACTTTGATTGACAGATACGTGCCTCACTGTCAGCTAACAGCAACTTGTCCAATCTGCTAGGCTACAACCATAGAGGCTACAACGTTAGTTAGTTGTAGTTACTGTACTTGATCCTTTAGCTGTGTTCGTGGTGATCGTGCCTGTTAGGGAATATTGTTACAAATACCAGATAATTAAAATGTCGTGCTGTGCGCTTGAATGTACTAACAGATCTTCCAAGAAGTCTACTTTCAGCTTTTTTCGGTGAGTAAAATGATAATATTATACATGTTAACCCCGTTAGCAGGTGTTTGTGTGCTTGTTAGCTTAGCCTGTTATGTAGCTTATTAGCCAGCTAAGGACGTAACCCTTTATACATATATACAGTTTAGTTTATGATTCAGCCTTGGGTAAGACTTTTATACTATATGGCTATGACGCCCATAATGCTAAACGGGAGCAAATGTTAAAAGGGGTGGGCCGCCGGAGTCCACGCCGCCGAAGCTAACGGGGCTGCAGGGTGCTAGCTCGCTAGCGCGTGCCGGCGGCCGTAGCTAGCACCCTGGGGCTCCGTTAGCTTCGGCCAGCGGCGGAGTCCGGCGTTATAACTGGAGATCAAGGAATGCATCGTAACGCGGACTTGGTTCGCCTGCAGCCCGCTGTAGTATTAGCTAAATAAATGATGTTGAGCAAGGCTTATTAAGCTGAACACCGCCACAATTATTCTGCTATGTATCGGTACTTATTTTATTTTATTAACGTGTGAATGACAAGCATTAAGAATAATACCAAATAGCTAATTATCTTGCAGATTGTCTCGTTTGATTATGAATGTAACGTTTATATAGTGGAACTACACTGTTTTATCAAAACCAAAGTGCCACGCAGTGACTTGGTATGCATGTATTTCAGCAGGAAATGTGCAACCTAGATGACATTTACCAACACAGACTATATAGAAATATTTGTAAAAGTTGTTCATGCGTTACTAAGTGAATATGGCATTAACCCTCCTGTTGTCTTCGGGTCAAATCTGACCGATTTACTACTTTCATCAATCATGTTTTACATTCGATTGATACTGAGAGCATGTTAGCTTAGCTTCTTAGCCTGAGCTAGGACTCGAACGTCACGCTCGTTGGCAGCAGGTCCCGCCCTGTCCCGCCTCTTTGCCCTTATTTGGAGAAGGCGGGAGAAGGCGGGAGTTAGACTCTGACGACACCGTCGAGCCGTTAGTGGCCGACTCCGCCTACTAAGGGCTTCACGGCAACTCTGCAGAATCCTATGGGTGACGTCACGGACCCTACGTCCATTTATATATACAGTCTATGGTTGGAGCATAAGAGAACATCGACGGTGACGACCCACTTTGATTCATTCAAACATTCGAAAATGGCTTTCTTGTCCGCAGCAGCAGAAAGCAAACAACTCACGTTCACCGAGGCATCAACCTCCAAAACCAGTGGCGGTTCTAGAACATTTTACATGGGGGGGGGCAAGAGGTCATGCCAGGGTGGCATAGGAGGGCGGACAGTATGTGGTATTTTATACTGTATATAACCTATTTATTGTTAATTCATGCCCTAACACAAGTGTTCTTAATGCACAAAAGAAACAAGGTGTTCAGACAAACAATCGGGTGCCCTTTGAGTCCCCCAAGCTTACCTCAACCATTTTAAATGAAAGGAAACTACAAAATGTATTTTAAAGCAATGTAAAATTAAATATATATTTTGTTTTAAAAAAAATTGGTTGTCTTAGACAGACATATTTGCATGTCCTCACTAAGCATTATTACATATTAATTTAATATTAAACAAATCAAAATGGCCAATTATCCTAACATGTTGCTGCTAATATAATCATCAGCTTGTCAACTTTAACTGATCAAAATTTAAATCAATTCTGAAAAAATACTTGAATTATCTATGAAATTGTAATATTGTCCCTCAGTTTGTTTCAACCCCGTCACGCCATACCATTTACCCTCCTATTAAAATAATGGATCAGTCCATGTGTGATCTGCATTGAGGGAATTACATCACAAAAGTGTCAGTTTCTTCTCTTACCTATATTTCAGTTTTTGTATTTTCAGATTAAGATTGACAAGCTCAACATTTCAACTATGTTGTATGAATTAATAATAGTAAATAATTGTTTATTACAAAAATAAACAATAGTTTTGCAAAATATTACAATGTTGTAATGTCCTTGACTTCCATGTGGTGCCATATCTTAGCTAAACAAGGTCTCATGCTACTTTTTGTCAAAAACTTCAACCATGTTACATTTTTTCAAGGAAATTCCTAGTAATTATTTATATTTTGTGCCTGAGGTGGGAACATGTAAGTAGTCCACTACCAGATGTTATGACCAAACATTTTGGTTTCATTTTTCAAAGATATAAAGACCCAAAAGGCACCCGATTCAGAGAATACTCAGAATTCTGCATACTGTAAGTACTTAATTATAATTAAGTACACAAATGACATCACCCATCTCTTCAGAGAGCTACAGGTGACCTGTGCAGCAACACATTTCAATCAATATTTGTCAATACTAAGAGCTGCTAAGATTGTGCTGCTGTAATGGAATATATAAGGAGAATAAGAACATACCATGTGGTCCAGCTGGAGTTTCCTCTGCCTCCTGATCCCTGCCTCTGGCCCTCTTTCTGATACTTCATCTTTATTCCTCACATATATTTCTTCTTCTTCACTAATGTCTTCATCTCCTCCTCTTCCTCCTGCTCTGACCTTCCTGGTCTCTTAATCTCCTCCTCTTCCTCCTGCTCTGACCCTCTTGGTCTCTTCATCTCTCTTTTCCTTTTCCTCTTTCTGTTCGTCCTGATCACTTCTCATATGTATTTTTGCTGTTGTTGAATCACTCCTATACTCTGGCCTGCAAGAGTCTACTTGTGAAAAGCACTGGTACAAATGCTTGTATAACTTTACACGTTAGGGCCATGTAGCCTAGCTAATATGTAGCATATCATAAATATAACATCAGAAAGTATTGATCAAGCGCACACAGGCAGCTGTGTTTGGATCCAGTTTTTACGGTAAAGGATGTATCCTGGTTTCATTGATCTGGCTGTGATGTGTAGTTTACGTGGATTTAATAGGAGGCTACCGCGTAGTTTAACAAAGTGATCGATCTCCCAGCTAATGCTGTCTGCGTAGTATTTTGTAACGTAACGCCCCAAACAGCGCCCGTCTGTTAAACGCTATCGATTCAAATGGCAGC